AACTCACCCGATCCCTCGGGGCTCCAAACCAAACATGCACACTAACCTAAGAATATCATACAGACTTGCTCGTGCAATCAAATTATCAAAATGATATCAACAACTATGAATTTAGCATCAAAATCAAAGCAAATCTCAAGAACTTTCAAAGTTTCAATTTTACAACTAAAGTTCTGAATCACGTCATATGACCTCCGTTTCTTACCAAATTTTACAGGCTCAACTTAAATCACATATAAGACCTGTACCGGGCTTCGGAACCAAAATACGGGCCCGATACCATCAAATTCAAACATATTTCATTTCTAAAAACTCATATATATTCCAGAAAATAATTTTCTTTAAAAATACATTTCTCGGGCTTGGGACCTCGAAATTCGATTTCGGGCATACGTCCAAGGCCCATATTTTCCTACGGATCCTCCGGGACCGTCAAATCACGGGTCTGATTCCGTTTACCCAAAAATATTGACCGAAGTCAACTTAAATTCATTTTAAAAGCAAAATTTTTCATTCTTCACAGATTTTTACATAATGGCTTTCCGGACTGCGCACACAAATCGAGGTGAGACAAAAAGAGGTTTTTAAGGCCTCGGAACACAGAATTTATTTCTAAAACATGTGATGACCTTTTGGGTCATCATACAGTACCTCTTGCAAAAGGAAACTATGATAGGGTCCAAGGGACCTATCGTGAAGGGGTAGGTATAGATGCTCAGATACCCCTCCACGTAAATGGTGATGGATTCCTCGGGGCTAGGCACTACTACATTCTTGCCTACCTAGTTGCACTCCTCTTTCACCTTCTCAAGGAGACCTTCTGTAATTGTACACATGTACCTGGACAATGGTTCACATCGACCCGGTATCAAGGGTGTATTCTCCACCTGGAAATTAGTAGCAATGGCACACTTCGTCGGAACAGAGTTCGCGAGTCGTGCCGGCGGACTTTGATGAAGAAGAGGTCCTTGTTCGGAATGGTTTTTGAAGTTTTTGCCATTCTTATATGTAGAGAAAGATGAAACGGGGGAAGAAACCTTGGTGTTTTGCGATGGAACAGGTAAAGAAATTTAGAGATTTAAGAATATAGAGCTTTGAAGAAAACAAAGATTTTGGAAATTAGAGGAAAGAAAATTTGTAAGTAAAGTTTGAAAGACGAAGAAAGATGCATTTATAGGTTGAAGGCGACGGTTTAGTACCGGTGGTGGCCGACCGTCGGCAGACAAGCATTAAATGCCTAGAGAACTGTACCAACGAGATGTTTTAGTCACCTATGTTGCTTACATCATGATGCCTACGTCATGATAAACCGAGGGAAAGTTCGAAAACTCAATTCGTTTCTTGTCATTGCACTCTAATAAAAGAGGGGACTATCTGTATACGGTTAAAATTGAGTTTGCCTAATTTTGTATGACTAACTAAAATCAGGGTGACAGATTAAGGCTCGGCCTCAGTTATATCGGACCACAGTATGGAGATGGATTAGTCAGCTCGTGAAACAATGGCTGATCAAGATCGAGATCAGCCGTGATCGAGACCGAAGCGAGAAAATGATCGAGCGAGATCGAAGGAAGCCTTCTAGGTCGAATAACAGAAAGTCGAGATATCCGTGATCGAGCAAGGATCGTGGTGGAAATCTTTGCACGTATCGAGTCATGACCGGACATTTAGCCAATCATGAGATTTCCTTCTATTATTAGAATTATACCTTAAATAGAATTCTTCTACTATATAAAGAGGGTTCCAATCATTTTATAAGGATCATACATTCACGCATAATCAAGCAATATACTACATTTTTCTCTCTTAAGCTCTCTGACGCTCTACTGTTCAGTTTACACTCTTTCAATAGCATACTCATTTGGTTCGAGGGCGATTTAGCTCGAGGGCTACAGTTGCTCATCACATTGGTTTGCTTTATTTTACTGTTGATTTCTAGTTTTAATTATCATATTTATCAATTTGTGCCAAGTGAAATCACATATCCTTAAAACCACTTATAAATTTAATTATTATCCAATTTTAAGAATAAACAAATGTAAACGTGGACACCTAACTCATCAATAAAGAAAAAGCTCAATACAATGGACCCTATTACTATTCCCCAGCTCTAACATCCCAACCCACCTAACCCTAAAATATTTTTCTTATAGAATATGAAAGGGAAAATAAAAATAACATAGTAGTAAGTATGAAATAAGGTTTGTAGAGTACACAGACGATTTGACATATTTCTGCTGTTAGATTCATCTTGGGCCCCCTTACAATTCATTTTATAATATTTGGAGTATGGATTAAGTGCGACAGGTTGTACCAGACATTATAGTGTGTCGGGAATTTTTCTTATATGAACAATGCCTTCACAAATATTACTCCTCTCTTTGAAAAAAAAATTAAAACTAAATTAAATAAGATCAACATGAAATTAGTTCGGGTACGTGTAATCTTATTCGGACACCATAATTATTATATTTTCAAAAAGCAGAGAATAGTCTGTAACCACCTTCAAATTTCTATAATCTTTCTTTTACAGAGTTTTCAAAAGAAGAAATATGCGACAGTTTAGCTACCGTTTCGCCATAGATTTTCAAATTTGTTTTGAAAAATCTGATTTGAGTGAAGTTTGGTTTGAAGATAAAATGTGTTTGGACATACATTTTCAAAACATATTTTTCAAATTTATTTTGGAAAAATATGTATATTATTAGTGCTTGTAAATAGCTGAGCTAGTTTTGGAATTTGGGATTTGGGATTTTGCCAAAATATAGGCAAAATCTATGGCCAAACATGTGTTTGCCAAATAAAACTCAAGTTTATTTTGGCAAAATCTATGGCCAAACGGGTCCTTAGTATCGACAATTATGGAAAATTTTATTTTGTGCTTAACACATTTTACACTAGTTGTGTGAGACCTCTTTTTTGTCTCACAACTTTGCGGTTCTATAATTTTGTGGACCCAAATATGTAAGCTATGAGACCACAAATATATGAGATAAAAGAGCACTCACGCAACTAATATCAATTATGTGGGCACACTATAAAATCACTCACGGTTATGGAATTACTTATTTGATAGAATCTTTGTGGGGTCATAATTGATGTATTTTCTCTCGTTTTTTCCTTTCTTGAAAATCTTTTTGCACAAGCATATTCTATTGTTTCTAAAGGTCAAGAAAATTGTCCTCTCGTCTTCTCTATCCAATTACTACAAGTTGAACAAATTGAAAATGGAGCCATAGATTCACACACATCCACATAACATATGCTTTCTTGCGTCGAAATGGCCTCGTGGCCACTTAAATTTGTTTTCATTTATAAAGCCGATACACGAACTTACATCGTTCCCATTTAAATACTCAAACTTACATATTTGATAAGTAATAAACCTATTTGACCATTGACCATGCACATGTGACAGTGATAGAGGTGATGTGGACAAAGTGTGTGCAAGTCACGTAAACTAAGCGCGTGACTACGATAATTTTGATTAAAAAAATGTAAAATCAGAAGAAAAAAAATAAGCCCCCATTTACAATAAGTAAATGGGTAATTAAATGATGCAAAATACGATAAATGCATGAATAACAATAGGTCACACTAATAAGGATTATGGTGGAATTGTAAGTACATTTTTTTATTTTTAATACAAGTCTTTAATTCAAGTCATTTGGAACTTTTCGAGGTAATTTAAATTTAATCGAATTTTAATGTGACATGGAATAAAAAAACCAATGGATCACAGGAAACATATATGTATGGAGCACACAATGAATGGCCATGGGAAACAAATCTCAAAAAGGGATCAAAAGAAATTGCCATGTCTTTGCACCACTCCTCACTTGCTCAAGATATGATAAATTTCATACCAGGAAAAGGGCACAACTGCTTACATCACCTGTATCTCTTGGTGGATTTTTGTGGGTCCCCACAACCCACTTCCTCCAAAACACCCAACTCCCACTTGCTCTTTTCAATCTCAAAAAAAGTTTCTCAATCATAAGAGCCCGTTCGGACATAAGAAATTTTTCATTTTTTTCCAAAAAAAAATTCATTTTTTTTCGAAATCATCGTTTATTCATAAAATTTCCAATTTTCACTTCAAGATACATTTTGGAAATTTTTGAAAATTTGAAAAACTCTAAAATACTGTTTTTCAAAATTTTCACTCAAATTACTCACAAAACTTCAAAAACAACCCAATATTCTATTCATGTCCAAACATAACTTTAAATTTCAAATAACATTTTCACTTGAAAGAATTTTTTACCCTGCTTTGGAATTTTACAATTCTTATGTCCAAATGCCCACTAATTTTGGAATTTTTAAAAAATTTGAAAAACTCCAAAAAGTTATTTTTCAAAATTATCATTCACAAAAAATTTAAATTTAAGTTTCTTTTAAAAGCTTTCATAGTATCAAAAGCAATTTAATAATTTATATATAATAAAAAATTATTTTTATCTGCACAATATAATTTTGATGAAGGACATTGAATTGAACCTCCTTTTCTTCCTTTAGCTTTGCCCCTAAGTGCGGTATTTAAGAAAGAAAGAAAAAATTTTGAAATATAATCTTAAACATATCATGACATTACGTGGCTATAAAATTATTTCATTATGCATAAAATAAAAATTTACCAAATTATAGGGAGATGTCATTGTTTTAACGGATTAAAAAGAAAAAATATCACATAAAATGAAACGAATAATGTTTAGTTAAAAAGTTGGTTTATTGATCTACTAATATATNAAAACTTTGAAATATTCTAAAATACACAAATATGTACATCCAAACCTCTCTATAACAGTCTCGTTTGTTCCGAATATTTTTGGATGTTATAGCGAAGTGCTATTATATAGAGCATATATTATAACAATAACATGAAAATTGGTTTGGAAAAAGCTTAGCTTTTATAGTGAAGTATTGATATATAGGGATGTTGTTAGAAAGGCGTTTGATTGTAGTATAAATTGAAAGTTATATGTTTTCTTTTTCATCTTATATACATGAAAAAGCCACAACCTCCAAGAATCATCATCATTATCAAGCAATATAATAAAAGCAGCCAACCCCATGTTCTAGATTTGTAATCTTTTGGGTAATCTAAGTTCTTTTTATATATTTCCACTTTCTATTATTTGATTGGTCTTTCCTATTGCTTGCCTTATAACTCAAAACCAGCTTAGAAAATTTGGAGATATTCTGGTCAGATCTTGCTTTGTTGGATTGTGGATTTTGTGTTGAAAAAGAGTTTGAGAAATGGGAATGGCAGCTGCAGATCTACAGTTTCATGTTTTAGCTGTTGATGATTGTTTGATAGATAGGAAGCTTATTGAAAGGCTCTTTAGAATTTCTTCTTGCCAAGGTAACTCTTAATTCTAAAACTCATTTACATACAATTTCTCCGTCTTTTTTAGTATTAATTAATTGTCTTCTTTGTGGGCATTTTGCATTTGTTAATGGCAGTCACTACTGTAGATTCTGGAAGTAAAGCTTTGGAATTTCTTGGTTTACAAGAGCTTGACCAAAATCAACCTTGTGTCTCTCCTAGCAACCAACAGGTAATATAATAATAATAATGATTTTCCCTTCTGTATATTTTTCTTGGATTTTTCTAAGAAAATTTGACAGCAAAATTTCTTTTTCTTTTTCATTGGAATTGCAGGAAGTGGAAGTTAATCTTATTATCACAGATTACTGTATGCCTGGGATGACAGGCTATGATTTGCTAAAGAAAATTAAGGTGTGCTTCTTTTTTTTTGGCTGCCATATTCCCCTTTACTTTCTTGGAAAATACTTTAGGACAAAATTGTAAAAAATTTATTTTTTCTTTCTGTGAAAGGCTCTCCCCCACTTGAGTCCTTTTCTCACCTTTCAATTATGGAATCTAATTACAAAATATTGCATATCTATATACTGCATAATAGATATTGAAAGGGCATTTACCCTATGGTTTTCAGTTACTATTTTTAGAACCCTATTGAAACTTCATTTAGTTCTTCCAATTTATTTTATATTTATATTTTTCTTCTCTGACAGGAATCTTCATCTCTGAGAAATATACCTGTAGTCATTATGTCATCTGAAAATGTTCCTTCAAGAATTAGTAGGTAAGAACATAAGAAAAATGTTCTCTTTCTTTACACAAACAAATCAATTTTTTTTTCCAGTTCAAGTGTTGGAAACTTGTCTATATTTTCATTATTGGAAACAGTCTTTCTATCCTCACAAGGCAGTGGTGAAGCCAGAAATGTTTCCAAGTTCTTTCAAACTTGAAAGAAGTAGAAAAAATATTTCAACAAAGGGTGTTCAATATAGGTTTTATATATCTAAAATCAATATTTTACTTATATACACAGTGTAATTTTTCGTAATTTTACAGCGAAGGGTGGTCAGTTGACCACCCCTTTGCTAGAGGTGGCTTCGACCATGTCACAAGGTAGGGGTAAGGCCTGCGTACACTCTACCTTCTCCGGATATGTTGTTGTTTTTCAAGTGTGAAAACTAATGATTTTATGGTGTATTAATTTTAACCAGATGTTTAGAAGAAGGGGCAGAAGAATTTTTTCTGAAACCAGTGAGATTATCAGATGTTAATAAGCTTAGACCCCATATGATGAAAACCAAATGTAAAAGCCTGCCCCAACAAGAAGCTGAGAAAATGGTCACAAAGCCAAAACAAGAATCGATTGAAATTGCAAATGTTCAATCACAAGCACAAGAGCCACAACAACAAACAGAATCAGAAACAGTTCAACAGCAGCAAAAATCACAAGCCAATAATAATAACAACAAGAGAAAGGCCATGGAAGAAAATCTATCACCAGATAGAACAAGACCAAGATACAGTAGTGGCCTCACTGCAGTCTAATCAGGATCGTCAGCTCGTGCCATAAGGTGTTTTGGGTGCCAGTGATAAGCCGGAGGAAGGTGAGGATGACGTCAAGTCATCACGCCCTTATGCCTTGGGCCCCGTCTCCTTTATGTTTTTGACAGCCGACTCAGTAAAGTCTTTCAATGGCACGTCTCGGTCCTCTTCCCTTAGCCGCACTGCAGACTAATCGGGAGTGCAAATATGTGAACTTTTTTTTTTCTTTCCCAATTTGGAAATTACTTCAGATTAACCCCTTTTTATTTCCTTTCTTCACTTTTTTTTATTTAACAGAGTAGAAAATGTAGGGGAGTGAGAGAAAATGATCCATCTAAAATGTAGATTTTACATGGGAAAAACTTTCATCCAGTTTTGTTTTGTTAATCTTAAGAGGGGAACATTAGTATTGCCAATGTAGATAGAAATGTGCTGAAATTTACTTCTTGTAAATAGACAAGCATTTACTATAGAAGTGGTATTCTCTTTTAATTTAGTTTCTGTGCAATCGTTGCTAATTTTCAGTACTTAAAATTTGGGGTAAGAAGTTTTCCATTGTGGTCAAGAATTCGTGAAAATTTGACTTTTAATTTCATGACTTTATGTTCACTTTTGTTCAAAAGTTCTTTTTGCCGAATCTTCTCTTTGAATGAAAGATTTGGGTACATGTCTTCAACAGCCGATTGGTGAGTTTAATGACTTTGCTTCTGGATTGGTCAAAATAATGTATGTTATCCTGTTACATTATGACTTAAGGATCGTTTGGTAGGATTTATAAGGGAGAATGATGCATGTATTAATTACTTTAATCCCTTATTTTGTAGTGTTTTTCAACCTTGGATAACTAATACATATTCATATTTAATACTCCCTATTCTTATACATAGCAAACTATGGTATTAGCAATACCATTATTTTTAATACATGAATAAGCTATGTATAAAGATAGAACTCTCCTTCAAAATATTTAAGACATCAAATCAAACCGTCAATAAAAAAAAATATTCTTAGCGTAACTAATCATAATATTACTAATACATTATATTCATTATTATTGTTATACACCCTACCAAACCACCGCTAACACCTTAAGGAAGAAATGTTTCAATGCGGGCTCAAGGCCAAAGCAACTTAAGTAAAGGCTTAATTTTGGGAGCCCTTATATAATATGAATTTCGCGGTTAATTTTTTCAAAATACATTTAATATTTTAAGGTAAATTATCAATTAAATATGAATTTAGCCATGTGATTGATTAGCTATATTATCAATTAGAAAAATACTAGAAGAAATTGATTATAAAAAAAAAAATATTACTTAACAATTTTGCATCTCAAGAAACTATAAAAATAGACTTCAAATAAAAATATATACGGAAGTTTAAAAGGAAAATTTTAAGGCCTCTTTACAAAAATTTGCTTTAGGCCACCTACTTTGGTGAGAAATTTAAAAATAACCCGATTTTCAAGTGGTCCTTCAAAAATAGTCACAGTTTCAAAAGTAATCGAAATTTAGCCACTTTTCATGTAAAGAGAAATCTGAACAAAAACACTGTTCAAAATTCGGAAAATACTTCAGCATAATATACTGGAGTTCCAATATAATATACTGGTCCAGCATAATATGTTGGAAATTCATACACAGGTGCACCGATCTCCATTATATTATACTGGATTTTTTTGTGTTGCAGCAAAATAGCAGTTATTTTTCAATGACTTTGTAAATACTGACTATTTTTGGATGAGCAGTTTGAAAACTGGCTAGACCGTGTTATTTTTACCCTACTTTGTTAAGCCGCCACTGAAATGTTTCAATCTGTTTTCCCAGATGTGAAGGATAGTTGGCCCAATGAAAATTTATCTTACTTTATGACTTATTTTCCAAGAGGTTGTGAGTTCGAGTCTCCCCAAGAGCAAGTTGGGAAGTTTTAGGAGGGAAGAATGTCGGGGTCTATTTGGAAACAGCCTTTCTACCCTAGGGTAGGGGTAAGGTCCGCGTACACACTACCCTCCTCAGACCTCACTAAGTGGGATTATACTGAGTTATTGTTTATGTCGTCGTCCTAGGAAAAACAGTGTTTCTATTACTTTGCGCGACTCGAATTTGTAACTTACTATGGATTAGTGCTCAAATTACTCAACTATTAAAGCAACCACCTCATCACTTATTGTCCCCTCACTGAACTTAGGTCCAATCAGTTTACTTAAGAAACTTGGTATAAATGAAATTATTCAAGATGGCTGAACTGATCAACCTTTTGAACTTTACTATGAAAAGAATAGACTTTGCTGTCCTGAACATTCAAAGAAAGACACTATCACACTAAAATATATACGTTTTAAATATCTTTCTTGTCAATAATATTAATTTGTTTGCTTGACCTTGAAAAATACTCTCTTCTTCGGTTATTAGTACTAGTTTAGTTATTTGAGGAAATTTTTAATATATTCCCTCCGTTTATTTTTAGCAGTTCATTTTTTACTTTGTACCCCCTTTAAGAAAAGAAAAAATAAAGTATGTATTTTATAATTTTACTCATAATTATCATAGCATTTCAAAAAATAATTTGGGGAATGAGTAGTTAATGATAAGGATAAAATTAATAAAAAATTATATTTCTCTTGATTTGTTAAAATGAACAAGTAAAAGTGAAAATATATTGTAAAAGTACACGGAGGGAGTACAATTTTTTGTCCCACGAGATACAATTGACGGTAAAAAAAAGGTGTATTCAAACCTCACATTAAATTTGTCATTTAATGTCAATTTACTAAAATACAAAATTAGGATTTGGTCCTCTGAATTGGTTCTGAGCTGTAAAAGCTCTGTGATCCGTCCCGAATAGTTTTTCTTGAACTATAACTTAATTAAGCCGTAGTATGTTATTTCCATTATTTAATTAGTTTACTAGAGGATCCTTAAGAAGTGTGAGAAAAATGGAGAAAACAATATTTTCTTTTTGGTGCACTTATATCTTTTTCTGTTTTCTCTTTATCTTTTTGACAAAATAAAAGTACTTTATTGCATATCAACAAAAGCCATTATATGCATGCTTGTTGATGTCGTTATATGCCTTTAAAGTAGAAAAAAAAGTAAGATATTAATAGATCTTACAGCATGCAGAATCTGAGTATGTCAACTTAAAATCTTCCTAATGCTTAAGATCTTCATTCCAGTCTTCTCACACATTAAATAAGTTCAGCGTAACACAAATTTATCTGCCACTAAACTTTGGTTAAAATGAATTACAATGTTTGTAAAAATTTAATTAGATTGTGAAAGAATCCCAATTTATTTGAATAGCTTACAACATTTGAATCGTTACTGGTGTATTTGTCCAGGTATTTCAAGACATTTCTTCTAAGTTAAGACATATTTACCATTTTTATAGGTAAGTGTAGGTAAAATTTATGGTGTACTTATTTTTTTTTACCATTGTTACTCTAGTCTGCCCATTTGACTAGGACTAATCAAACTGGATTGAACTGGAGCTTGTTTTAAGTCTAGGTATAATGAGTTTTAATAGATCAACAAATTAAAACTAGAATTTTGGTCACAAATAAATGACATTAACTTTCTCTGTTTTAATGTATGCGACTCATTTGATTGAGAAAAAAAAAGTTAATAGAACTATTTGTTTGACTTGTTTATAGTTGTTTCCGTTTAAGCAGGATGCTCCAATTAACATTTGCTCTTTAGTAAATAGTAATGAGAATTATTTTAAAGTAATACATTATAAAGTTAATGGGAAACAAAGAAATTCAAAAATAGCCAGATTTACTAGTGGTAATTCAAAAATAGCCACAGTTTCAAGAGTCATCGAAATTTAGCCACTTTTCATGTAAAGATAAATCTGAACGAAAACACTGTTCAAAATCCGGAAAAATACTCCAGCATAATATACTGGAACTCCAATATATTATACTGGAGCCAGCAAAGTATATCGGTTCAGCATAATATGCTGGAAGTTCATACACAAGTGCACCGAACTCCAGTATATTATGATGGACCGGTCTCTGTTGCAGTAAAATAGTGATTATTTTTCAATGACTTGGCAAACGCTGGCTATTTTTGAATGACCAGTCCAAAAATTGGCTAGCCCGTGCTATTTTAACTACTACTTCGGGGCAGCAGAGTTGGTTGAGTAGGCCCTTCGAGACTTTTTAAATAGGAGGTCTAGGGTTCGAAACCTACTTGTATACCTCCCCGATCGAGTTTGTCTAGTGCAGTTTACTTCATGCGCATCCGAAAGATAGTAGTTGCGCATTCCCTTGTACCAAAAAAAAAAATATCCTATTAATTAAATAGATCTAAATCTGATAATTTGAAAACTACTATTTGCAAAAGAGAGGGAACTGTTTATAATCATAAATATAATGTAGAAAAGTTTAACAAGTTGGTACCAAATAAGGAAAAAATAGAACAAGTGGGTATTAAATAGGAATGTTGTATAATAATGGGGGTTAAAAGACAACAATAATTGAAGATTCTGGTCTTTCCATGATCTCTTCAAACAAAGAGAAAAGCGAGGGAGACAACTGCGAAGCACCATATTGGAGGATTACTCCTATATATTTTAGGTAAATTTATTTTCTTTGAAGAATATAGGTTTCTGTGTTCTTTTCCTCTGCGTAATTAACATGATTTTGGTTCAATTATATTAATTTAGTTAATTTTCAGCTGCTTGAAATTATTTGTGTAGTAAATCTTCTGGAGCAACCTTTGTGCTTTTTTAGTGAAATTATTTTTGAATTATCTAAATAGAAACAAATAAATATTCCAAAAATCATGAAATAGTTATAGTGGAAAAGGCTTGTAAGTTTCTTCTTGACTCTTTTAAAAGCTTTATTCTGCAGTTAGGAAAGCTGTTTTTTTTAGAAATGGTTATTTGGTAATTTTGAGTATTTAATACTTAGTTTACTTTATGTTATCAGGTGATATCAATTATTTTGTATAGTTGATAGCAAGAGGTGGATCAAAGTTTTATCAGTATTGAAAGATTGAAAATGTCTGAGGGGGAGGTTAAAAAAGTTTCACGTCAAGATATACAACTGGTAAGCATTGAGCTTAAATCATTGGTTTTATGTATTGGTTGTACAGATCATTTAAATGAAGAAACATGGCCAGTCAGGACTAATAGTAGTTCCGATTTAAGACGAAGTAGTGTAGAACGCAATGGAAGAAAATAGAGCATGCATTTGTATCTTTGAACTTATATATTAGGTATTTGATTGCACTTTACTGCTTAGATAGAAACACCCTTTGTAGTTGCAACTCTTTCAGTTAATTCGGATTAAGGCACTTCAATCCCTCGAGAAGTTTTTCCTAACTGTGCATTTCCATAAACTTGCATCTTTTTAATTGAAGAGACTGCCAGAATATGTAAGCAAGGCTATTATTTGGAACTTTCTTCCTTAGTTTTATGTGGATGCCTGGGCAGGGGCGGAGCTACAATATCAGGTACGGGTCCCAATAGTTTTTGCTTAGTTCCTGTATTAGTATTAGGAAATTCATTAAATATATGTAAATATACCCAGTAACTAAAACGAGTTATGGGTTCGGTGGAAAGTTCAGAACTCATAAACTTCAATTCCCGGCTCTGCCTCTGTGCTAGGTTGTGCTTGTGATTATTGTTTAAAAGCCACATACGATTCGCCCTTTCAGTCAGTTGTGATACAACAACAACAACAACAACATACTCGGTCAGTTGTGATAAACCTACAATTAGATCTGTTAATGATAACCTGAATCATCTGCTTCAAAGGAAGCATATGATGACCCATTTTTTTGTTGTTGATAAACACCGTGGTGAATGATGTAAGCAGCAAGAGGGATTCGATGTTGTATGGAGTCCTGACAATCCCGTAGAAACATATAATGTTCTGTCAGCTTCAGATTCCTATCATGAAGTTTGTGATCCTGTAAATTCATGAGTCTTTGATGAATGATTACGGATAGTTGTTTGGATTGAGGAGATGCCGCTCCTTTTCTTTTTCTCCCTTAGAACATATAGACTTCAGATTCAGAATACGCAGTAGTCACAGCGCACAAGTTGTTACCTGCCAACTGTTATAATAAGGAAGATGTTCATGTAACTTATCCAAATAAAAGGAAAGATTTAAGTAATATCTCATACAAGTCAACAATCAGAAGACATGATTCCAGTTGAAAGGGTAGAAAAGAAATGTGGACTTTTGCTTCCCTTTTGAAGATGTAGCTAAATTATGATAGAGAACAGTAATCTCCTTATGGACCCACCAAGTGCTAATTAACGATTTTTTGAATTTCCAGAGGAAATTTATCAAACATAACAGTACTGCAGTGTTCTCATGAACCTAGCCAATTGCTTGTAACTTTTTGCGTAATTTTTCTCAGAGATGGGATTCTGAGGCCTATCTTAGATGTTCTATGTTAGGGGCTTAGTGCTGATGCAGTTAATGCGTTCAAATCTGTTATAGATTTCTAATTCTGTGTATGCAGCGTCACCGTTCATGACTTGCAATTATGTTTACTTGTTAGCTAATCTTCTGCTATTGGGTTTCTGTTGTTATAATTAGAAATTTGGAACTCTAATTGTTGTTAGTGTGGCATAACTTTTGCATCCTTAAGTTCATTTTTACAGGTTAAGAACTTGTACAATTGTGAAGTTCTTCCTTGTTGTATAATTGCTGCAATTCCACATGCATTAGTCTCTTCTGACACTGAGCTTCTTTGATTTCAGGTGCAAAATCTGATAGAAAGATGTCTACAGCTTTATATGAACCAGGAGGAAGTTGTCAAAACCCTCTTACATCAAGCAAAGATTGAGCCTGGTTTCACGGAGCTTGGTTCGTCCTTTCTCATCCCAACGTCTGGTTCCTACTTTTGCCTATATGAAGCTAGCACAGTACCATATCTATACAGAGATAATTTTGGTATTCAATGGCATGCAGATTGACCTGCTATAGACTTATACTAGTATTCAATGACCACGGAAAAAAAACTACAAAAGTCATCCTGTTAACAGAATTGATCCAATGAACAGGACAGAATTGTTAGAACTTAGAAGATCATTGTTATCTTTCACTGAGAAGCACTCGTTCACCTACTTCTATTTCAAAGAAAGAACTAGTAACTAGAGGAACTAATTTTCAAGCTGAAGTGTGATAGAAATGAGATATCTGAATTTTTTTGTTTGATTCACTTGGTCAATCTTTCATTTCTCAAGATCAGTAAGCAACGTGTGTTATCTATATTCTCCATGTGTATCTCGCAGAAGAGATGAATCTGATATCTGGATGTTTTTCCAGTGTGGCAGAAGCTTGAAGAAGAAAACCCGGAATTTTTCCGGGCATATCATTTAAGGTTGATGTTGAAGGATCAAATAGAGAGATTCAATGTTTTGCTTGAGAGACAGGTTGATGCAATGCAGATGTATCCAACTGGATCAATTCCCATGTCTAATGGATCTCAGATTCGACAAAGTACGGCATAATATCTTAAGATTGCCATGTTGATCTTCCTAGAGATAATTATTCTGCTATCTTTTTTCTTTTCAATCGCATAGTAATATTCATGATGGATTCCCACCAAGCCCAACAAATTTCTTTTTGATTTTTTATTTGCGTTTACATGCTTTCTATTAGATTTCTGTTTTTAAATTTTTAGAAAAATGATTGGCTCATTAAATTTTAGAATGAATGGCTATGGGAAAGGTTTAAGCCATGAAAGTGGCTGAGAAAAATGTGAATTTTGCAAACGGTTGTGGGGGGTGTATATTACAAATGGAAAAAGGAATTTCCTAAGAGGGTGTCTTCTTGTTCTGAGATTGAGTATTCGTTGAATATGGAAATGTGATGGAGTTGATTGCCGGATTTTGATGCGTAAAATGGCATAGAAATCTGATAGAAATAGTGGAAACAAGAGATGAAAAGCAGGCTTCTCCTCACCGTAGCATAAGTTTTCATTTGATGCCTTAGGATTATTTGCAATGTCATAAACCTCTGCATATACTTCTTTCTCCATTTAATAAAACCTACACAAACAAGAATTAGGCTCTTTAATTCAAATTTGCCTTGATCAGGGTCAGTTGATATATATTTAAGCTAAATCTAGTTTTTATTTTGAACTATGGACCTTATTTCTGAGAAGCATGTGCTTTACTTCTTGCTTAAAGCCCAGGAGCATTGTTGTTGTTGTTTTTCCTTTTCAATTCAAAAAGTACTGCATCTTTAGGTGGCTTTAATCCCTCACTTCACACACGGTAAAGATATGAGTAGCTTGTCATCAAGCTTCAATCTTTAATTATGGATTACAAAGAAATCTAACCAACAGATCACAAAGTGTATAAAGCGGAAACCTGTGGTTCATCTTATTCTTTTCGAAAAATGGTCAACAGCAGCATTATTTATCTCCTTTGAAGTTCAAATCAGATGTTGTAAGTGATGGATGTGGTATTCCGTTCAAATTTGATGTGTACTCATGGTGACAGGATTCCATTTTGATATTAACTGAACTAAATGAAGTGTTTCTGTCTCCTGTTCCTGCTTTTTTCCTTGGCTGAAGAGGCAGATCGGCAGATCCTAGTATGCACACATCATTATACCTCAACTTTATTTAGTAATTTCAGGTTCTTAGAATAGTTGAACTGTCATTCCCTATTTTCTTTGTTGATTGTTTGCTTACGTTTGCTTCCTTCTTTCCCGCTAGGTAGTTCATAAATTGTACTACATTAGCCTTTGCTACTTATGTTGTTTGGATTCAGCCAGAAGGAAGTGTAGATAAATTTGCATATTTATCAATACGCTATTCTCTGAACTGCGGTGCAACATTGAAATTTTAAAGAGTTTCATGCTTGATTATGCAACCGTTTCATTAGTGAATTTTTGAAAAGGGAAATGAAGGTTATCTGATGGCTATAACACATTGACAGTCCCACAGAACTCAACATGTCAAACAACAGATCATGCTGGACCTAATGTGAAGCCTGAGAATGTGCACCAGACTGTTAATGCCAATTTATCTCATGTATGTACTAACGGTGCGTCCTCGCTCCAACCATGTATGCAAACTGCTACTGATGTGTCTGCTCATGCAAGAAGAATTGATGCATCCTCAAACATGATATTGGCTCAGAGCTCAAATTTGGGAATGCTGCAAGGGGTGAGAGGGGAGATGATCAAATCAGAAGCTGGTTATTCAGGCAATTTACCATTCCTGTATGGTACTGAGACAAATATCCTCGAAGCTCATCCTGGAATTACAGATCCATCTGTTTCATCTTTCAGCAGTGTAGAATCAAATTCACAACCAGTAAATGAGACTGTATTAGATGCTGATACATCTTCATTTGGTTTCTTGGGGCAGATTCCTCGAAACTTTAGTTTGTCGGACTTAACAGCTGACTTTTCCAACAGTTCTGGTTTGTGCCTGCCCTCTCTTTTGGGTTAATATTTGTCTCAAGTGCACATTCTAATGCTTTGAATTTCTGTTTATTTGTAGATATTTTGGAGAGCTATTCTGGATCAGCCTACCTGGCAACGGATGTTAACAATTTCCTGGATCCACAAGGTCGGAGAGAATATCATGGTTAGTTGTGTGGCATCTGTTGGTTCTGTTAACCTGGTAAACAAGTAGTTACATCAATGCCTCATATTTTAGCAGACATTAAAAGGTTGGATGCTATATCTGAAGGCTTGAGCTTCGAAGATTTTGCCAGTGATTGAATGAACATTCAGATGGTACTATTTTGTCTTGAATTTAAAATTATCCATTTCGAGAGTATAGTTTACAGGAGTACACCAGCTTAATGTTAATAGCTGAGAATTTGCGATTTGTACCGTATTTGTTGTTAAAACTTACAGTTTCGAATTCCAACACGCGCTCTTTGTTGACATTTTTCTCTTTATATGGTTGTAATTGTTGCAGGTACAATTGCTCCTGGAGTAAAAAGGTTTTGTAAATAGGATTGCGAAAGGGAGAATGATTTGAGCCCTTCTGAATGTATTAGTTGGTCACTTTCAACATAATTATTTAATCATTATGGTTGACATGCCTGTTGTTCTGGGATAAGCAGGAAATAATTTAAGCAAAAGCCTCTTGGAAGTTGGTTCTCCTGCTCAATCCTAGAAATAAAGCTGTGTTGCTAGTTTTGTTAATATGGTCGTGATTAATAAGATCTGATGTTTGTAATTAGTTTCTATTGTTTTTTTCAAAAGAAAGGTGAAATTATGTTTCTCTTTCTACTTCTGAGGAGAAAACTTTTATGTCCGTACTATCCATCTCAAATAGAAGAATCTATTTCAGACGAAAAAGATGGTATGCTTCAAGACTCGCATGAATTGTTAAACATGTATAGATTATTTTGCCAGTCTCAAAATTACAAACCAAAGGTGTAGAAACAACAAACTGGATTAGCAACATGCCATTAATTCATCACCTTTAGCTGTCAACTCTTAATTTTTACCAAAAGATCAAACTTGAAAAATCCAAAGAGAACAAAATTGATTACACGAGTAGCAGGATTGCGCGAAATCAGACATTTTGACTAACCTGCAATATGCAATTCATCCATGAGAAGAATTGATGCTACAGGCACTACAATTGAAAGTACAGTTTAAGGTTGGGTTGATTCCACAAGCTTAAATTAATCTTTTATGCTGGCCCAGTCCTGAGTGCATAGTCTAAATCATCTATCAAATCATTGACATCTTCAATCCCAACAGAAATTCGAACAAGATCCTCAGTAAGACCTCTAGCCTCTCGTACTTCAACAGGTATGCTCGCATGAGACATGAAGCAAGGCAAGCTTATGAGTGACTTGACACTTCCTGCAAATTTGAGGACAATACAACAATGTTTGAGGCAGACGCAAGAACAGGAATATAATAAATGGCATCAACGTAGGCATAGTTTTGAATTAAATATGAAGCTAACGATCTTGTCTAGCATAAACACAAGAGGTCATTTGATGAATCATTTGCGTCACTCTGTAACATTGTCTCATGGACTGCAAGTTCTAGTGGGTTAAATGTACAAAAAGCATATTGTTTTTCCGGAATTATGACAATATGAATAAAAGTAGGCTGGAATTATATATGACGCAAAAAAATCTTTTCTAGCAAGAAGGCAACGTCAATTTGATGAATCATTGGCGTCACTCTGCACCATTATCCTGTGGACTGCAGGTTCAAGTGTGTGAAGCGCACACAATCATTTTTGTTTTCCATGCGGATGTTCGCATGCATGAGTTATTTACAATTATGACTATACAGATTAAAGCTGGAATTTTGATTCCCAGCTAATTTTCCTAAAGGAAAACCAAAAGACCTAATTGGTTGTCATACATTTTCTCTCTTGCCATTGGAAGTGTTCCACGGATAGCAAATTACAAATAAATGCTCGAGTCAAGTTGGATATCAAACAGCCCAATGTACCCATGGTTCCCTATGCTTCTTATTGGTAATTATGTCTCCTTTATTGCTGTTGCACCAAGGCAAATTACCCATGGTTCCCATCTTTCTGCCTAGCCAGGGGCGTACGCAGAATTTTTCGTAAGCGGTGTCGACAATTTTAAAAAGTGAATAAATAAACAAATATAACATAGATGCTATATTTAAAAAAAAAAAAGATTCAATTTATATCAATAAAACGCAATATATTATAATATTATAACTTTTCTCGACGAGTTTTTACTTTTTTGAAAATTATTCATAAAGCGTCATAGTACTATATATATATATAAGGCATCACACAATCTCTCATATTTGAATAAATTTCAAAGAACTTAAAATAATATGATTCGCCTCATTGATTCTTTCTTCCAAGTTAAATAAATTTCAGATGATAAACTTGCTTAATTTTGAAAGTTAAAAGATTTTATCTTCAAGAAAAAGAAAAGGAAAGAAAAAGATGTAGCAAAACACATATAGGAGCTCCTGAGCTTCGAACCCCTTACCTTCCCCGTTCATACTTGGCTTCTTAGCCACTGGACCAAGATGCATTTCCTTTGCAATAATGTTCGTTTTATTTTTATAACGGCTATTTATAATATTATAAATTTAATAAAATATATATTTAATTAGATTTTCCGGCGAAGCGGTGTCGGATGACACCGCTTGCGCAAAGGTGCATCCGCCCCTGTGCCTAGCCCATTCTTTCTTTCTTTTTATGAAGAAAATAATTGATAACAAATAATTGGGGGCGTTCCGAGAAACAAACCCGGGAATATTGTTTTGGTACTTCTCACTAATCCATCTATTCTACACAGGAGCAGAAACTGAGAATACCCAATTTCTGGGATATGAGGTTTTCAGCCTCTAATAGAACCTGGTTTCTGTTTTACCAACGCAATTTGCATGTATACTTTTATCAAAAGGGAAAAGAGACGTAAAGCTGACGTCTTAAGAAAGTATATGTTTTGATAGGAAAAAAGTGAGACTATTATAGGAAGAAGTAATTGAGTATAACATGAAACTAACCGAAACTGACAGTAATGCTGAAGTATTTGGTAGCTTCAGCCACATGCTTAGACAGCGCCAAAGAACCTGTCAAAAAACTTAACACCGATCCTGCACCCCTGGCCTGTAAATAGATCAACATTTCAGACATATATTTTTTCAAGGAAAGCTTTCAGGTCAGGACACCTGACAACCATAGTGCTTCAGTTCAAAATTCCCCAAATATTCACATGTTTAAATACCTGAGAAAAGTGCAAGGATCTCCCCGGATGGTCTGGAAGACCTGCATAGTTGACCTTCTTCACCCGTGGATGGGAAGATAAAAATTCAGCAATTTTCTGTGCATTTTCCTGCCGGATATTAAAATTAATTTATTAGAACTCAAACCACCAAACTGAGGAAATAATTATCATGTTTTCAAGCATGCACCTCCAAGTATACATATGTAACGTCAATAGAATCTTTTACAAACTGAGCATATTTTGCTTTTAATAGCAAGTGGTTGCTTTTGGGGATCCATGCGAACTTGGCAAAAGATAGGGCGCAATAGAAGAAAAAGATCTACATATACAATGCATATTAGCATAATATGTTTTAGATGTCAGCACATTTACTGTAGGTCTCACGCTTTCAGCTTTCTAGGAGTGGTTTAGCCTTTATGAGATTTATACATATAGAAAAAGGTACAGTACTTCAAATACTTTTTCATTTATATTGGCATGAGATGATTTAAATGGAGAACGTGATTAATGAGGATTGCCAACCCAACTTGTTTGAGACTGAGACGTAGTCATTATCGTTAAAGCAAGTATATAAACCACCTCGTCTAAAAGCTCAGCGATGAGAAATAGCACTTCTATTTATACAAGTATATTTCATAACATGCCCCTCATCGTGGGTCAAATTCTTTTCCATTGACCAAGTACATAAAAATCTTGTTATGATAGGTGTGGATGAGACTCTACGTGCTCTAATACCATGATGAATGTGAATCACCTCATCTAGAAGTTTAAGCTATTAGGGGTAACATTTTTCTTTGTTTAGTTGCATCATAGCACGCCACCTCACGTCTAGGCCAAAATCTTTTGGTAGGCCAGGCCCGTGAAAAAAATTCTTTGATGGGTGACAAGACTCGAACTCATAACCTTTATCTACTTTGATACCATTTTTAATTTTGCAAAGCATCACATTTAAAAGCTTGATCTATCATAGATGAGATACTCTTGTTCATTTGATTAAGTCGTAACAAGTAAATTACGGGTACCAACTAAGTTAGGCAAAGAGAGGGACAGAAGGGGAAAAGTAATTAATTCTCATACTACTCGTCTGTCTTCAATTAAACACAAAATAAAGCTAAATGGATAAATAAGATAGACTTGCCAGTTTTTCTAATTTCACAGTTTTCAAAAGTTCAGAAGTAATCCTTTTTGCAATCTCAGCACTTAGTTAAGATAAAGTACCTTTTGCATCACCTTATCATGGCTAAATTTAATAGAGAGAAGAACAGAGTATTACAAACCAGCATAACTTCTCGGAACCATATAAAGTTGAAGATGCAATAGCGTGCATGCCAATAGTAATAAGAAATTAAGAAAGCACGGGAAGGCATAGATGTTTCTATAAGGAGTGTGGGGGCAATTAGTACACCACAAAAGAAACAAAAAAAAAACAATTTATACCTGTTGTTTTTCAACGCGAAGACCCATTGTTTTAATCCCTCTTAAACAAAGCCAACAATCAAATGGTGCTAACCCTGCACCTTCAGAATTTTGTAGGAAGTATATCGCCTTTGCCAAGCTGGTTTTGTAGGAAAATTTATAAGCACATTACAAAATGGACATTTGAGATGTCTAAGAGAAACGAGCTATCAGACATCATATACTTTCAATACTTTATACATATAACCTAAGATGCTCGGACTCGGGTGCGGGTATCCAATACGCGCACGGATCCGTGTGTCGGATTCGGCAAAATCTTACTTTTAAGATTCAGTGGTGCGGATCCAGGATGGATATGGTGCGGAGATTCGGCTAAGAAAATTCAAAATTATAAAACATAGAGTTATAAAGATATTATAAATTTTGAGAGATATTCAGTGAAAAACTTGCATGAATATTGTACAATTGAATTCTTGGTTTTCCCGAAACACGACGCAACAAATATGAGATAAAAGTACTACTCCCTCCGTTACAATTTATGTGAACCTGTTTGACTGGGCACGGAGTTAAAAAAAATGAAGACTTTAGGAATTTGTGGTCCTAAACAAGTCAAAAAGGGGCACAGAGTATTTGTGTGGTTATAAAAGCTTCTCATTAAGGGTATAATTGTAAGTTTAAGCTAAATTATTACCAAATTTAGAAAGGGATCATTTTTTTTGGAACGGGCCAAAAAAGAAATAAGTTCACATAAACTGGAACAGAGGGAGTATAATATTGAAGGTATGCCATTTCCCATGTCTTAAATTTGTTTTAGTTTTAATTTTGACAAATCAAAATCTCAATTCCCCCCCCCCCCAAATTTGTCAATGGGTTGGGATCAAAGTATCCGAAGTTAGTTGAACGACCGGTCCCGTGTCGAGACAGGTGCGGCACTAAAAACGAAGAATCCGCGCAACTTAGCATATAACTATAAATTTGCACATATAGTTTTGTAAATGAACTAATCTCTTAAACTTCATGTTTAATTATAAGGACAGCATCATTTGCTACCTATAGTAGTGTGAAGGCTCATGCTCAGTGAAGGCCCTTAATCCAGTTCCAAAATATAGGATGAAAAGTTCAGAGATTCCATTTCAAAAAAGGAAAATATGCGAGATATTGTCCTTTACATCCTCCAAAGCAGTCCAAAGAGAATAGAAATCTTATTTACATAAGGGAAAGGAAAAGGAAGCATATTTTTATCAGCATTTGCTACCTATTCTTGGACAATTCTAGAGTTTCAGTATGGGTAACTTATTCATTACAAGATAAACCAATAATGTGATAGATACTTATGAACTGAGGTTCACTAGAGTCGAGCTCCTAATGTGATAATTGGTTTTGGCCCGGAGAAAACAAGTGAAGAAGAACACTGAGGATAACCAATCATAAGATAAGAATAAATCAGAATATGAAACATATACGAATAGATTTTAAACCTTTCTCCTCTGACAGCAAGTACACCAGCCATGAGATCACTATGACCAGAAATGAACTTAGTAGCTGAATGCATCACAATATCTGCAAAAGCATGGGCAAGTAAACCAGCATCACATGCATGTTGCTGGAGAATGTTCCACTTAGCGGAAGAAGTATTTGAACATACCTGCTCCGAGCTCCAAAGGATGAGACAATACTGGGGACATAATGCTGTTATCTACCAGCACAAGAGCCCCATGAGCATGAGCTATCTTGGCTATTTTCTGGATAAAATCAGAAGAAAGAAAAGTATGAGACAAGTCATTATATCACTATCAATCGGCTATGATAAAAACAGAGAACTGTATGTGCATAATCTACATATGCCACTGCCAATTACCCACACGAATATCACAAATTTGTTGACGGGGATTGGTTGGACTCTCCAGCCAAACAAGCTTTGTCTGTGGCTTAATTGCAGAGGCAACCTCATCTACATTAGTTGTATCAACTCGCCTGTACAATAAGGTGACAATCAAAATTATAACAACCTAATTGAAAATTAAGCTACCTCAAGAAAAGAGGTACCAACTTGACCAGAATCCCGGCTCTTGGAACTACTTGTGACAGCAGCCGGTCAGAACCACCATATATGTCATCCCCGGCAACAATCTCTTCACCTATAACACATCAAAAGATTTCAAGATATTCTTTTGTTAGCTATCATTAGCTAGCAGAGATGTCAAGAAAGAAAATACTAGCATGAATCAAATGAAGATACAATGCCTCAACCAACAAGAAAGTATAACCATATCCAATGAGTACAACAAACTAAGAAGAAGAAGTGCTAATGAAGTTTGTTGCATAATTTATCTGATATACACATGCTCGGTCATTTTTATGCAAATGCTTCCCGTGTGTGATTTTTATATATACCAGTTTGAAGAAGACGAGTTACAGCTGCCAAGGCGGCCATTCCACTAGTAAAGCAAAATGCTCGATCTGCTTTCTCAAGCTCTGCAAGGAGCCTGAAAATTTTTAAAGGTGGTAATGGTAATGATAACAATAATGTTAACTTCCAATTAGTAGCAGTATGCACACAGTTTGACATACTTTTCCAATACATCCCTTGTTGGATTTCCACTCCGAGTATAATCATATGGACCATTTTCAGTTGCCGAAGGCTGCAGAAGGATGTAGAGACAATCAGGGTTAAGACAAGTTTTTTGTTACTTATGTCTATGAAGCAAAGAACTTTAACTTTTAGGCTGTTGATTATAGGCTGAAGGCTGAATCAGAAAACCAATGTGATGAGAGAGTTGAAGCAACACGAAGTTGCGACAGATATTCCACACAATTGAAGCAATTCAAAGCATGTAATACTAACTTTCCATTCCTATCCTTGTTTCATGTGATAATATTTGCAAATTACTGCATATCTTGATCCAATATATCGGACAAAACCTCCAAATGTTGTGGCGATAATTACATATCAGCTAAAGATAGTAAAAACAAGTAACTAAGGAACATAGTTAGCAAGATTGCACCGTCAAAATTCTTCCGAAAGAAGTTGCTGTACAAAAAAATGCAGTTTTGCAATGTAGTATGAAATTGCATTCCACTACCAAGGTATCTTCAATCTTACTTGCTTAAACGTAGACGTTTGATACAAGGGGGTACTTAAGGCACCGAAAGGATCAAACTCGTTACTGAAGTTCATCAACATTGTTGAAACACTTGGCTCCTTTGCTTCCCTAGCCTCCACTCGAGGAGGCAGTTCCACTACCCCGTTCTCTGCCATAAATCAATATGTACAACTTAGTTCTAAGATTAACCAAATAAACAAAACTCATTTATCCTCGTATACAAATTGATTTGTTACAAACCATCAAAGCATTCAGTAACACTATCGACCAAAGTTGATGCAGCGAGATCCATCTCTTTGTCGATTGAGCAATTCAATTCGAATTTCTTTTCCATTAGAGTTCCCTTCATATTGAAGGTTGCTTTGCACCCAAATGCCACCTCAAAATTTACAGGTAATTTACCCTACACATTAGCACAACCTTCTATCAGAAGAAAAATTTTGCCATTTGTTTTGCTGCTCCACAAATAGGAGTAAGAGCAATCTACTATATTTTGTCATCTACGTTTAGGGGAAAAAAGGCCCGAAAACAACAAAAAGATGATGCCTTAGCTTAAACAAGTGTTTTACTTTGACCCAAAAATATCTCAGGAAAAAAGAGAAAGAAAATATTTTAAATTGCTTTATATTACACATCCTTTATGTTTCCCAGAAGAAAAATTAGTAAGGCAAAACAGTTGTATGGAGCTCATAGAAGTATAAAGATAATAACTTTTCAACTTCTCAGGCTAAAATGTCTCTACTTTATATATTTTTTTATGTTTCCCCTAAGAAAATTAGAGAGCCCCCAATAAGCAGAAACAACTGAGTGAAGCTCATAGAAGCATAAAGATGTCAACTTTTTAACTTCTCAGGCTTAATTTCTTCACTTTAAACATTCTGTATGCTTCCCAGAGGAAAATTAGGGAGCCCCAAGAAGCAAAACAATTCTGGTGAAGCTCTTGAAGCATTAAAATTTTACAAAAATCATAACTTTATACAATTTCTGAGGCCTAAATTGAGTATAGATAACAACCCAGTTCAAGATTTGTCTAATTGTTCTCTCTGCCAATGATTTATCCACCAAAAAAAAAAAAATTAAACCCACATGAACATATAAATCATATTGGGTAACAGGGGCAGTGGCAGTAACTTACATGGGTGTTTTGGTAGGTAGGCAGAACGCTGAAGGGCTGCTTGAGAGACACAGAATATGACATTTTCAAAAATTGTCTTCTTTCTCAATAAGGACTGAAAATATGTAAATTTGCTAATATATAAGCCAAAATTTTTGTTATCATTAATTCCAGGGGTTTTTTTTTTCATGATATCTAATTAAATAAAGAGGGATGCTATTTAATTTTGATTGTACCTAAATAATCAGCTGATTCACTTCTCGGTGTGTGATTATTTTTAGTTTTATGAAGGAAAATTTTATATTTAATATTTACTTGAAAAGTACTATAAATCATAAACTTTTTACATTTTAAAAGTTTAAATAAATTTCTTTGTTTGACTCCATATTGATAAAATTTGTGTTAAATGAGTTAGATAGAATGGTAAGTTATTCGTTTAATGTAGATAATAACGAAGGGTACAATCATATTCTCGAAACCTTTTTTTAAAAATATTGAGATTTTCATTTTTTGATCTTACAATTAAGTTTTTAATTATTGTAATTTATCATTAGTGATCATGATCTTAAGTTATTTTCGTTCTATATTGAACATAAATGATGATATATTATGTTTGAGCAAATAAATGCTAAATTAATTAATAATAAGTTAATAGGGCGAATCTCAGTTGAACTTAATAAATTCTAGATCAAATAAGACAAAACTCTGTATAACGAGTAGGGTTCATGAGCATTAAATAGCCAACTTAATACACTATGATTGACAGAGTATGTAATATCATAAATATATAATAAATGACAAGGGTTATAGTGTAAAGGAATCATCATCCAATGATTGCATGATTGGGTGTTTCCTTTCTCTGAAGATGACGTGGAAAAGCAAGAGGTCAAAATGTATATGGGATCTTGAGATTTATGGATAAAGATCCAACAATATATGCTTGAATAAATGAATAAGATAACTCTTTCTTTATTCTTCTCTCAATTTTTACAATATGTTCTAGTTCCGAAAAAGGCAGATCCCTTTTTGTTCTTTTTCTCTTCCTATTTATAAGGGACATTCCCCAAAAACCCTAAAAAGTACAACATAAAAAATATCCAAATGAATACTCTTTATTGACATTTCTGAACCTAAGTTACCGTTACTGTCCTGTCTCAGTTGGTCGCTTCTGGCGTCGACCTTTATGAGGACGACCTTCAATCGTTATATCGTGTTCGACCCCACCTTTTGTCTTCCTTATCCATTACCGTTGTTACCAAATTTGGACCCATACATACTATGCCCTGATTTTGAAACAAGTTATATTTCTCTATTATTTTTTCCAATTTATACATGGAAAATAAATAATTTTCAATGATAATGATAAACACTTGTGTCATACTATTTAGCTAATGACCCTTTTTTTTACTAACTATGATCCACTAGTAGGAATAAAAAAAATATTTTTTTTTACTCATGACTATCTCATAATCAAAAACACGCTAATTTGAAGTTTTGAATAAGTTTCGTAATTTTTCTATAAAATAAAAATAAAAACAGTTTCTATCGAGTAAGCATTAAGGGGCACTTGCATCTATATCCGCTTTTTGTGTCACGTTTTAACTTGTGTCCGCTTTGCAAAAAAAATTACAAGTGTACCCGCTTTTTCGCATAACTTCAGCATACGGGGCTGAAGTAGCAAAGGCAATCACGCAAAACTTCAGCATTCTAGTAGTCAGTCCTGAAGTTCAGCTCTAGAGCTGAAGTTTTTGTTTTGTAACTGTCGAAGTTTTTGTTTGTAACTGCGAACTTCAGCTGCTGAAGTTTTTGTTTGTAAGCTTCAGCTCTAGAGCTGAAGTTTTTGCTTTGTAACTGTCGAACTTCAGCGCTAGAGCTGAAGTTTTTGTTTGTAACTGGAGCTGAAGTTTTTGTTTGTAACTGGAGCTGAAGTTTTTGTTTGTAAGCTTCAGCTCTAGAGCTGAAGTTTTTGTTTTGTAACTGTCGAACTTCAGCTCTAGAGCTGAAGTTTTTGTTTGTAACTGGCAAACTTCAACTCTAGAGCTGAAGTTTTTTCTGGAAAAATCAGCTTTTTATGTTATCGTCCGCTTTAAATGCAGCAACCTCATTTCGTCTAACTCACACTCAGCTTTGCTCATCCATTTTATTGCTAAGCAACTGATATTCGAAAATACATTATACAGTTCTATTATACATTCAGACAACACAAATTTTTCTTTTTCTGAACACAGAAACATATAATTCACATATACAAGGTTAACTTTCTACTTGTTTCAATTATGCTTCTGGCTATAGCAATAAGTTTCTCCACAAATTATGTTGGAAAAATCCCAAGTACTAGAGACTCTTTCTAAAAATGATTATTAATTTCTTGAAAACGAAATCCTAAATAAAAACGTTGTGTGAATACAAGTTATATACATAGTCGTAACAGATTTCTTGCAGAAAAAGGAGAAGGAGAAGTTTGAGAAAGAAGAGGCGGATATAACTTTGACGAGGAGAAAGGGGACTGAAGTTGTTTAAAAAATGAGTACAAGTTAAAAAAATTTAAAAAAAAAATGGGTATAAATTAAATGGGTGCGACCAAATAGGGCGCCCTGTGTAATTTTTACAGCATTAACCCTTTTGATGGTCTATTAGGAGTATCTTTAAAATTTGTTTTAATTGATCTAACTCAAGCACGAATACATTACACGTCTTCCAAATGTCAACAGGCTGGAGTATTGTATTGTATCCGTTGAGCTCAATGTCTTTTGGGTTTTAAATGGGAGCTCGTGTTCATAGCCTGCACCACATCTTTTCCATAAAAAAAAATATTTGGGCACCCAATGTTCATACCAACCCAATTAATGCACATTCTCACCATAATATATTAATATCGTTTCATACAAACACCGTGTGTGAATAAATTCTCCTATCAGAAGCCTTATAACAATTGTCAACCTAGTAATGAGCTTGAAGAAAGTCATCTACACCCCCGAACTTTGTTTTAAGAATCAAATTCCCCGTTCTACTTTGAACAACTGTTATTCTCCCCCATTTCTCAGTTAACTTTTTAAAAAATGCCTATTTTAACCTTTATATTATCAGCATTTACTTCTTTTTATTTTTAATCTTTTACCTTTTTAGCATCATGATATTTTTTTTTCTTTTCTAATATTTATTCTATGTACCTATATTAAAACTAAACGTAATTTTCAAAGTGAAAAAAGTAAAAAATGATAACCAAGCATATAATTTAATAATGTTTAATAATAAAAAGGATGAGCAAAATAAAAATTAAAATAAGATAATTTAATGTTATTAATAGAAATTAAATTTAAAAAATTTATTTACATAATCGAAAATAAAAATAGTGAGAACCTTATAAATATATGCTCAATGCAGGTAATATAAAATCTTATAATTATTAAAAATAAAGGCAGATTTTATAACAAACTTCTAAAAGATTATCTATTTAACACTAAGAAAATATAACTCGGCGATATGCTTAATGCGCGTTATATTAAATAAAAATCATAAAAGTATGATAGATTTTGTGACAAATTTATAAAAAGGAATATTCTATTTATAATATTAATAAATTTAAATTATAATTTATAATATAACATAATTTAAAGTATAGGTAAAATCATAAAAATAGCATATACAATAAAAAGGGATTGAGGATGGAATTGAAAATAACAAGGGCAACATAGAGATTGTGTAGGATTAAGGGGGGGAGAATGATAATTGTTCATAATTGAGGGGGAGTTTGATTTTTAAAGCAAAGTTAGGAAGTGTAAATGATTTTCATCCTTCGCAAAATGAGCTTAAATAGCTACTGAGCTTGGCATAAAGCACATACAACACTTGGTTAATCACTTGAGCAGTTGAGCTCACTTCAACCCTCTACTCTGCCTAAAATGTATCCAACATTATGTGACCATTTTAAGCTTGCAATGTCTTTTTAAGTGACCAGGACAGAAAACATATCCATTGTAATGCGTACACCATTTGTATTTTTCATAAGTTAAAGTTAACATTTGGTAGAGCAAGGAGTTCCTTTTACTTATTATCCTTTTAGTGAGAAAGCAAAACTGATTCAACCTTTGTAGAGAATGACTAACATATGATGCATAAAATTGCCTGAGTCTCCATAGAACTCATGCCAGACTGAATATTGCATATTTATGGGAAAGTGATCCAGATATGCTTAGGCTTACAGACAAGGGCAAAGAGAAAGACATTTACTATCGACAAAGTTAGCATACAGAACATGAGTCAGGAATGTCAACTCACTGCCCTGAATAAAATGAAAATGCACAGAAACGTCTAATTCTAAGAGGGTGGATTAGCTCCTACGGCTGGACCTCGTGGTTCTTCTAGTGGAAGTATAAGTTTCAAGGTTTTGATCACTTTTACTGCTGTTTTTGGCTCTGGATCTATAGGCACCTGCAAATATTCAAGTGTTAGTTTTCACCCCGTTGGGAAAAATGTTGTGAAAGGACATAGGACATGTGAGGGACCTCGGGGGCGACTTATAGGAGATTGAACTTCATTTTCATCAATTGCTGAATCAGTCACCTCACTGGAAGCATGAGAATTTGCTTCCAACTCAGCAGATCTTGGTTCCGAAGGTGAACATTCTGTTTGCCCTTCCATTGATGGATCGGTGACTTCAGAATCTGTTCCAGGATTAAGAAAACTAAGTCAGAGAAAATTCAAGAGAACACAATAAGGCACTGTTGCCCCCTCCCATCATAAATCATCAGAACAGATACGACCATCCTGGACCATGTTGGCTTCGTTCGTCTTACATATAACCCTCCCCTCTCATATAGCTCCAGCTTTCTTGCCAAAATTACTTTAGAGCTTTTTCACAAAAGTATCAAATTCTGAAAACTCTCATAATTTTTAATTAGATTGTAAAAAATTACAAGTGAAGGATCACTAAGTACCAGTTTTATCAAAAGCGAAAAGTGCAAAAAAGCTCTAAGGTCTGTTGGGACTTTAAGCGCAAAGCGGAAATAAAGCGTGGGCTTTAATAAAAAAAGGCGCAAATGGAGAAAAACTACAAATATGTATGTGTTGTTCCAGATTAATATCTATAAGCATGATTGCCAAATATATGGACAAATAAAC